TTTACCCATTTTCCCCACCTATGGAATTTGTGCATGGGGCTCAACAAAAGTAACCATCTCAGACCACTAATTACCCAACAAAAGGCTGCAGTTAGAATGATAACAAATTCTCACTACAGGCAGCACACTCCACCAATATTCAATACACTCAATCTACTCACCATACAAAACATCCATACTTATTACTGCACCTATTACATACATAGAACACTCAACTCTGATATTAACCCTCCCCTCAAACATCTCCTTGCCAACCTCAACAGAACACATGACCATAACACAAGGCACAGATCACTCTTTGATGTTCCTCGTGTCCATCTCACACTATGCAAAAACTCAATGCACATAAAAGGCCAAAATCTGGAATTCATTACCTGTAAATATAAAAGAAACACTACCTGTTTATAAATTCAAGTCCCTTCTCAAAGATCACTTACTCACCCAAAACCAAATAAATACTGAATAACTGAACCTTATAAATTGTATATTTTAAAAATGTTTCTCACAATTATATCACATAAATGTTAAACCTAAAACCCAATCTAATTTTAAATTTTTTTTTTTAAATACACTACCTAACAGAATACTCCATTCTACTGAATGTACAACAATGCATGCAACCATAGGGACCTGTCTTTGTAATACTCACTTGTGCTTTATATAATTGTTACATTAATGTTTTATCACTGATTTCATCATTGCTTAGTTAATCTTAAGTTAATTTTAAGCCACCCCGTAATGCTATGCATAGTATAAGGGGGCTTTTGGCATGCTGCTCTTATCTGTATTTTTTGACCTCTGTATGTGTGCTCAAATTGTAAATAAATAAATAAATAAATAAAAACTGCCTCCTCGCTGCTGCATTTACAACCAAGCTTCACACCCATATAAGAGTGTTGGTACTACTATACTTTCATACATTCCCTTCTTTGCCTCCATAATAACATTTTTTGTTTCCACATATACCTCAATCATTCATTTATTTATTTGAACATTATACAGAGAAGTACAAGGAATACAATTTTAAAGTGTAGCATGCCAAGCCCCTTGTATGCAGAGCATTATGGGCGGGCCCTTAAAATTAACTTAAGATTAACTAAGCAATGATATATTCAGTGGTACAAAAATTATTGTAAACAGAAAACAATTTAGTCAAAATGAGTATTACAAAGACAGGTCATATGGTCATTTACTGTGTTGCTTGTGTAATCAGTAGAATGGAGTATTCTGTTAGGTAATGAAGTTAAATAGTAACAAAGTTTGATTGGGTCACAGGTTGATATTTATGAGATACAATAATGACTTACATATAGAGATACAATTTATGAGATACAATTATTCAGTATTTTTTGGGTTGTGGGTGAGTAAGTGATTTTTAAAGAAGAGACTTGAATTTATAAACAGGCAGTGTTTTTTTTATATTCACAGGTAATGAATTCCAGATTTTGGGGCCCTTTTTATGTGCTTTGAGTTTTTGCATAGCGTGCGATGGACACGAGGAACTTCAAAGAGTGATCTGTGTCTTGTGTTATGGTCAGTGTTCTGTTGGGTTGGTAAGGAGATGTTGAGCGGAGGGTTTATGTCAGATTTAAAGTGTTCTATGTATGTAGTAGATGCAGTAATAAGTATGGATGTTTTGTATTGTGAGTAGGTTTAGAGTTTAAATATTGGTGGAGTGTGTGTCTGTAGTGGGAATTTGTTATCATTCTGACTGCAGCCTTTTGTTGGGTGATTATGGTCTGAGATGATTTATTGTTGTTGAGCCCCCATGCACAAATTCCATGGGTGAGATGGGGTAAATAAGTGAGTGATATAGGGCCAGGAGGGCAGACTGTGGAACATAGTACCGTATCTTCGATAGTATGCCTACGGTTTTGGGAATTTTTTTTTTGGAAATTTGTTGTATATGTGTTTGAAATTTAAAGTCTATTATCAAGGTGGATTCCTAGGAATTTTCCCTCTGTGAGTTTTGTGATAGGTGATCCATTTATCATTTGTTAGAGACACATCTCCCAGCCTATTACCAAACTGAATGTAGTAGGTTTTGTAAATGTTTAGAGTAAGTTTGTTGTCCCTCATCTAGGTTTGATATTTTCTGTAATTCGGCATTTAACAGTATTGGCTAGCATGACTGGCTCGGGTGAGAGTAGACGTATGTAGTGTCATCTGCAAATAGTGTGGGTTTGATTAGTTGCGATGCATTTGGTAGGTCATTTATGTATATGAGAAAAAAAGGGGGCCCTAGGACACTTCCCTGTGGGACCCCAAACTGTAACTGGCTGTGCGGAAGAGTTTCCCCCATTTGTGTACACTTTATTGGCTTCTTTTGCTGAGTATGACTTTAGGTAGTTGAGGGAGTGCCCTCTTTACCATAGTGCGACAATTTTATGTGGGGGCAAGTCGTGGTCAACTGTATCGAAAACTTTACGTAAGTCAATGAAGATCCCCAGTGAGATTTTTCTCTCTATTGCTGTATAAATATGTTCTAGCATGTGGATAATAGCATCATTAGTATTTTTATTAGGCCTGAAACCCCAAAATTTACAGGGGTTGAGTATGTTGGTGGGAGATGAGGTAGGAATAGATTTCGCTTATGGATTAATTTTTCAAAGATTTTAGAGAGAGGGTGTAAGTTGGATATTGGCCTTTAGTTATTCAAGTCTGTGTGGTCTCCTCCTTTATGGATCGGGGTGACCCTTGCTATTTTGAGAACTGTAGGAAAGGTAGAGGATTCAATGGATTTGTTAAAGAGTGTTGCAATGATTGGTGATAGCACCTGTGACACTTTTTTGTATATAATGGGTGGTAAGGTATTTAAATCTCCTGTCTTGTTTTTTAGTTTGTTGATAATAAGGGAGACTTCAGTTGGGTTAGTCGGAGCTAGGAACAGTGTGTTTGGGTAGTTGCCAGTGAGGTAGTCATTGGGTGGGATACCTGAGCTTGGGATTTTATTGGCAAGGTTTTTTTCCTATAGTGGAGAAGAAATCATTGAGTCTGTTTGCTGTTTCAGTAGGTGGGAATTGGGGTTCATCTGGTTTTGTTAATTCAATTTCGCTATTTCATGTTATCTTTTTTGTTCCTAGTATTTCTGATAGGGTTTTCCAGGTCTTTTTTATGTCACCTCATAAGTTGGATAATCTGTTCTCATAATACAATTTTTTAGCCCTTCTTATTAGGCTGGTTAGGGTTGACGAGTAACGTTTTGTTTGGTCTCTGGTTATGTGGCCCATTCTGTACTGTTTTTCGTATAGGTGCTTTGTATTTATGGATTTGAGGATACTGGGTGTTAGCCAGGGACTGTTCAGTCTTTTTGCAGTCATCTGTTTAGTTTTTTTAGGGCTTGTTATAGAGGTATTGGGTCTTTTTTAGAAAATTATTAATACATTCGTCAATATCTGTACAGATTTCTAGCTCAGTGTGCCAGTCAATGTTTGTCACTGCTGCTGTGAAGTTATTGATAGCTGCCTCATTGTGAAGTCTGAAAGTGACTTTAGTAGTGTCTAGGGGTAATTTGCCAAGGTTCGTTATGAGGAAGGTAGGGTAATGGTCTGTGGTATTATTTGTGGTTATGCCTGATCTTAAGGGGGATATGGTGTTGGTCCAGATGTGGTCTAGTAGGCAAACACTAGTCTCTGTAACTCTTGTAGGTTTTGTTACTGTTGGTAGCAACATGCAGTTACTCATAGTGTTTGTGAATTCAGTAACATGTGGGTCTTGGTCTCACTCACCTTTTTTCCCTCATCAATTCTATGATTAACCTCATCCTTCATAAATCCATCCGCCAACAAGTCAACTCCCAAGTATCTGAAAACATTCACTTCTTCCATACTCCTCCTCCCCAATTTAATATTCAATTTTTCTTTATTTAAATCATTTGATACCCTCATCACCTTACTCTTTTCTATGTTCACTTTCAACTTTCTACCTTTACACACACTCCCAAACTCATCCACCTAACCTTTGCAATTTTTCTTTAGAATCTCCCATAAGCACAGTATCATCAGCAAAAAGCAACTGTGTCAATTCCCATTTTGTATTTAATTCGACTCAAGAAATCGTAATGACACGATTGCAAACAAACCATACCCCCGGCCGGGATTGAACCCGCGGTCATAGAGTCTCAAAACTCCAGCCCGTCGCGTTAGCCACTAGACCACACTAGCTGGAGATTCGTCTGTAAAAACTTGCATTTGTGGTCACAGAGGTGCCTGTGCTAACCTTCCTATGGTGTAGAAATACACCTAGTTGGATGAATCTTATTGTGGCTAGCTGGTCTAGTGGCTAACGCGACGGGCTGGAGTTTTGAGACTATGACCGCGGGTTCAATCCCGGCCGGGGGTATGGTTTGTTTGCAATCGTGTCATTACGATTTCTTGAGTCATGTTGACGGCAGTGAAGGGACTTGAGCTAGAGTTCGTCACGGCCACGCTAGCTGGAGATTCGTCTGTAAAAATTTGCATTTGTGGTCACAGAGGTGCCTGTGCTAACCTTCCTATGGTGTAGAAATACACCTAGTTGGATGAATCTTATTGTGGCTAGCTGGTCTAGTGGCTAACGCGACGGGCTGGAGTTTTGAGACTCTATGACCGCGGGTTCAATCCCGGCCGGGGGTATGGTTTGTATTTAATTCCCTATAATTTAATCCCACCCCTCTCCTGAACACCCTAGCATTTACTTCTTTTACAACCCCATCTATAAATATATTAAACAACCATGGTGACATTACACATCCCTGTCTAAGACCTACTTTTCCTGGGAAGTAGTCTCCCACACCCTAACCTGAGCCTCACTATCCGACAATACGTTAGGTAAAAGGATACGTGCAACTAATGCAACATTTTATCATGGCAACATTTAGCTCTTCAGGAGCTTTGTCAAGTCATAATGGCTTGACAAAGCTCCTGACATTGGTTTCACATGTGTCCTTTTTACTCAACATAGTAAATGTTGCTTTAGTTTCAAGTATGCCTACAGTTTATTTTGAACTCTACTTTTAAACTAGAATTTGTTGAATTCTGTGTAAAATTGGCCAAATTACCAACTTCTGGGCATTTTATAGGGTAGTTCATGTTTAATTTTCTTCCTTGCTTCACCAGCATCACCTATACTTTTTGATGCTATGATAAATATCCAGATGAGATGAGGTGATGAAAAGAAGGAAAAACTGAGTGATGTATACACTGACCCACGTGGAAGGCTGTTTGTTTGTATCACGTCATCCTCTTCACACTCTTCCCTGCACGGCTACAACTGTTAGGTGACTTTGACCTGCCTCACATGGGCTTGTAGGCCTGCTGCAGTGCTCCTTCTTTCTTATGTTCTTAACAATAGATTTCCTCAAAGTGTAGTGATAGGTCTCCCACCTGCCTGCTGTAGCACTCCTTAATGGAAATTAATTCTGCTCTGATGTGCATTAATGGAAATTTTCCACTTCTATTGGAAGTGAAAAGCTAAATTTAAAATTCAAAATAATGTTCAACTTTAGGTTTTCTACTGAATGCCTTCTGCATTATTGAACAAGTGCAAGAAACTACCCATTCAATGCTCAATTCTTACAAAGCTCAGAAGTCAGTAATCTGGCAATTTTACACAAAATTCCAGTTTCAAAAACACTAAGGATTCCAGCCACTAAAGCAACCTTTCCTCTGTTCATTAATCACATCCCCAGGCCTCTCCTATTTAACACCTGACTTCCATTTTGAATCCATCATACACAAAAATCAAAGTTTTCCCTATTTCTTGGCAAATGAAATATAACTAAGAATGCTTGGTGATGGTTTAGGCCACACCAATAACTGAAGCAGACCTAGTAAACCCCCACAAGGTAGATCAGTGGGCTAGGAAAGCCCCTGTCCTTCCTCACAATAACTGAAGCAGACCTAGTAAACCCCCACAAGGTAGATCAGTGGGCTAGGAAAGCCCCTGTCCTTCCTCACAATAACTGAAGCAGACCTAGTAAACCCCCACAAGGTAGATCAGTGGGCTAGGAAAGCCCCTGCCCTTCCTCACAATAACTGAAGCAGACCTAGTAAACCCCCACAAGGTAGATCAGTGGGCTAGGAAAGCCCCTGCCCTTCCTCACAATAACTGAAGCAGACCTAGTAAACCCCCACAAGGTAGATCAGTGGGCTAGGAAAGCCCCTGCCCTTCCTCACAATAACTGAAGCAGACCTAGTAAACCCCCACAAGGTAGATCACTGGGCTAGGAAAGCCCCTGCCCTTCCTCACAATAACTGAAGCAGACCTAGTAAACCCCCACAAGGTAGATCAGTGGGCTAGGAAAGCCCCTGTCCTTCCTCACAATAACTGAAGCAGACCTAGTAAACCCCCACAAGGTAGATCAGTGGGCTAGGAAAGCCCCTGCCCTTCCTCACAATAACTGAAGCAGACCTAGTAAACCCCCACAAGGTAGATCAGTGGGCTAGGAAAGCCCCTGCCCTTCCTCACAATAACTGAAGCAGACCTAGTAAACCCCCACAAGGTAGATCAGTGGGCTAGGAAAACCCCTGCCCTTCCTCACAATAACTCAACAAAAATCTAATATTTCTACCACTCTGAGGCCTATTTTAGGCCATTTCTAATATAAAACTGACCAAGATCATCTATTTCACTGGTATGTCTTAAGGGCTAAAAATTGGCACTAAGAACTTACCAATAAAACCATGTTTCATGGCTATTTTAACCCAAACACAAAGTCAAGAGGTTAGCTGTTCTATCATATACTGAGTGGAGGAATTTTTTATACAGCACAGATCCATTCCTTCTTGTCAAGGACAAAATTTACTGCTCATAGCATATTTGAGGGAGCTATGATTAAGATATACTTCTACTCAAGTGTCAATGACGTTAATAACACATCCACCTGGCACTGAAAGAGTTAAATACTTATGAGTCATTTGGTAGTTGAGTGATACTGAGGAATAGAAGAGGACCCAGAATGCTACCTCGTGGGACACTAATATTCAAGGAACCACACTAAGGCTTCTATAGGCAATTCAGGCCAACAATGCTAGTATTACTGTAGGTAAAATAAATGCTAAAAAATTTAGTTTAATAATCAAAATTCCATCATCAACCAAACATACTCACTTCAGTGTTTGGTGAATGGGGATCCAAAGAAAGCACTTTAAAAATTCGAGGAGTATCTTCACAACCTTTGTCAGGAGTGTTTGCAACCTGCTAAAAATAATGATTATGACTTTGTTGTCTAGTAAAATACTATTTTTAGAATACAGTGGACCCCCGGTTATTGGCCGGTTCAGTTATCAGCCAGTTTTACGGCGCCCGGTTATCAGCCGTTAATTCGGTTATCGGTCAAATGGGAGGCGTCCATCCGCCAGCTGGGGCCACTTGCGAGTCAGTTTGGCTTTGTCTCTGGGCGAGTGAGGAAGCTTCTGCTCATTCATCCAAACATTTTGCTATTAATCCATCTGTTGTTTTTGTTGGTTTATTGATTGAGCTGCAACTGCAAATATGCAACCTTGAGCCCAAAGAAATGAAACACTTTACCTAAGTATTTAAAAACATGAAATGTTTATATGCATTGCAGCATTTATTAATAATCATGGTACATTAAATAGTATTGATTTCCTACAAATAATATTGACTATTTTCATTTATCAATCTGTCTTCTTACTAAATTATATAAGAAAACGTTAAATAGCATATAACAAGTAATGTTTATTATATGCGATTGTAACCATTTATAATCACTCTGCACATTAATGTTTTATTTTATCGTTAATGAAACTTTTCATTAATTGTACCTATGCTATTTTTTCAAAAACATTATATAAGAAAACATTACATATCATGTAGCATATAAACATGCAAAGTTTATATGTATCAAGTGGTGAGAGTGGGATGGAGGAGTAACATGACGATTTTCTCTGATTGCAGCATTTTAAAAGAAAACTGTGAAATCTGGCGACTGGTGCAGTTAATCGCCCTTCATATGTGTATGTTTACATTTCTCGGCATGGAAATTATTCATTTCTTCTCCCTTGTTTATGATGGCATCTAATGTAGTAGTTCTTTGGAAATGATTAAACTCAGTGAACATGGTAATAAGATGGCTGTGTAGTGTAATAATATGGCTGTGTAGTGTAATAATATAGCTGTGTAGTGTAATAATATGGCTGTGTAGTGTAATAATTAGCTGTGTAGTGTAATACTATGGCTATGTAGTGTAATAATATGGCTGTGTAGTGTATATAATATGGCTGTGTAGTGTAATAATATGGTGTCGTAGTGTAATAATATGGCTGTGTAGTTGTAATAAATATGGCTAGTGTTGTGTAATAATTTAGCTGTGTACTGTAACCAAGGGGGGGGCTAAATCTACGTGTATTGTTACCTACATCTACCGTACTACACTGACCTTCTACAAATAATTCTACTCACCCTCTTGCCCTACATTAAGACCCAAATATTTAAGGTAAAGTATTATGAATATACTGTAGGCAGTAAATGACAGATTAAAAGAGTGTGTACTAATTTGGACTAGGGTGCAACTCTTTTGTAGAGAAAACACCACTTGCCCCCCTCACCCCCCCCAACAAGCCATATTTGCAACATGTTCCAGTGACAAAACCCTGTCCCACTTCAGGGAAATCTTAAAGAGATGCAGAAGAAACCGCCCTCTATGGACAGATTTGTTGTGAGTCAGGAGTCCAGTGACTTCAAGATGGTCCTTGTGCATTAAAAGACAAAGAAGAGGAGTAACCCGAGAAGGCTTGTACATAAAAGTCTTATGGAGGGGGGTGATTCCTCTTCACAAACACTAACTCCTCCTATTTCCTCTTCCCTATCTTCCTGAAGCCAGCATTAGCCTTCAATAAAGGTTGTAATACTTACATAATTATTAAAAAAAAAAAAAAATTCTGACTTTTTTTTGTCTGGAAGGGTAATAATTGTATTTCCATTAATTCTATTATAGGAATAATTAACCCTTTAGGGTCGACAGGCACTTCCGAGACTCGTTCTCAGGATCGGGCCAATTTAAAAATATAAAAAATAATTTTTTTTCTTATGAAAGATAATCTTTTCCCGATCATAATGACACCAAAAGCACGAAATTGATGGAAAACTTACAGAATTATGCTCTCGTGAAGTTAGGGTTGTGGCAATGTTTACGCATCAGCGATTTGCCCACTTTCTGCCCATTTTCGGCAAATTCACTGTACTAGTCGCAAAAAACTGAATATTTCACTATAACTCCATTTTTTATATCGAATGAGTGTAAGGAAACCACCCATTTACAATTTCAACTATCCAGTACAGTGGTCAGAATTTAGCAATTTTGCCAATTTCACACAAATTTCTAAAGATGCAATTTTCCTAATAGTGTCCAGAATAACAAGAAGGACATTCCTGGCAGCTAAAATTTTGCATTTCCTATGTTCAATTAGTCACGTCTCAGGCCCCTCTTAATTTCTTTTCTTTCCACTTTGAAATTTTTATTTCTCACCAAAATAATAGAAGATTTACTGTATGCCAGACTACTGCATTAGTGTAAAAAAATGTATAATTATTATTGGCGCAATTGCAAAAGAATATTGACTCACAGTTGACGTGTATTGACGCTTGGCATGGATTTGGTTACTTTGAATATGGTAAAAATCGACATTTTTGCTACTTTGAGCTCAATTTCAAGGTCCTTTTCATTATTCAAAACCAGTCAAAATTCATCTCAATTTCTGATAATTGTTTCCATTTCTATAAAATGGACCAGGAAAACTAGAATACAAAACAATAATAAAACCATACGAAAATACCAGTGGCAATGTCGCTGTTTTTTTTTTTTTCCTCATTATGCACTGTGTTGCAACGGATCTTTTTTTATACTGTGCACACTGACCACATTGACCCCCATTCTTTCATATGTAGGGCCTACAGCTTTCTCTCACTAGATTTGAGGGCGCTCTAGAATTTATGAGTACTAGTACGTCAAAAAACCTTGGGTAGTATGCCGTTACTAGTACGGCTCTGAAACCCTCAAAGGATAATTTTGGTTTTCGGCCATTCAGTTACGGCGCCTTCTTGAAACGGATTACGGCCCAATAGTCAAGGGTCCACTGTACTTACTGTTTTACGCAGTAAAATTAAGTTATTATTAGCAAATTCATGCATAGTATATTATTTAGATATTAGTGATACTGAAGTAAAACTAACTGTAATATTCAATCTTGGACATGTTGGGTGCAAAAATAAGAAAATTAATGTACAGTATTTAAAAGACACCACTGTACATTATATTACTTCACATATCTGTTTATGCAAGAAAGTAAATAAAAATGATTAAAATATCAAATGCACTTTTCAGAAAATTTATCATTTTTTCAGTATCTATGAAAGAAGAATTAATAACTTTTCCCTACAAAAAATGCATACTGAAGGAAAGTTTATAGCATGGTCTATATATATCAGGACTTTCTATCGAACCCTCATGGGCTTGTAGCACTTTCATTTTTTTGTGGAAATACAGTATGGAATATATGGTAATAATTAATATTAATAATAATACATAATGTTTTACATTAAACTAGGCCACAGTAAATACCCTTACAAACATTTTGTTTACATTAACACACATACCACCATATATATCCATATTTACTGCACTTTTTTATAATGGGAATAACCACTGTGGTAAAATAAACAGTTTAACAAGACAAAAATACTACTTATCTTCATACTGATAATGGGGAGTTCTTGTTAGGTAATATGATGGGAAAGGTGGTCATAGGGCAGAACATGAGTTGTTTTTAGGTGTTCCTATGTGTCTTGTATGGCCTCACTTTGTCCCACCCTTGACGTGTCTGGCTGATCAGCCCTTCACCATGGTATTATCGAATCTGAAAATCACAAAAATAAACACATACAGTGGACCCCCGGTTTTCGGCTGTTGTGGAAATCAGCCTATTCAGAAATCGAGCACTTTTTTCAGCGAAATTTCCCCTCGATTTCGTGCATCTGCTCGGAAATCATTGGTACCAGACACATTCACCTGGGCCGCTCATACGTTCATGACTCACTCTTGGGCATGTTAAATGTCTTACTTTAAGGTTAATATAGACATTTTCATTAATCCATCTATGATATTTTCTTCAAAATTATAGAAGAAACACATTACATAGCATATAAGCATGCCTTTGTTACTCATTCACTAAGAGTCTCCCTCTAGTCTTAATGCCATAGTTATAATACTAACACATAATAATAATCACTCTTGGGCACATCAAATGTCTTATTTTAGGTCAATACAGTAGGGCCCCGCTTTACAGCGTTTTGCCTTATGGCGTTCTGCTAATACAGCGATTTCAAATTATGACCAAAACTTTCTATACAGCGAGCGGTCTTTCAAATACGGCGCACGCCACCCAGTTTGTTTACATTCTCTGTGAGCACATCTATTATGTCTGGAAACTTTCCAAAATTTCCAGTTTTTTAAAGTTATTGCATATTTTGTGTGTGTTCTGATACTAATACTTGTTTAATACATGTACATCAATTTACTTACACATTGTGGTTTGGATTGCAGGTACACATTAAACTCACTAAGTGTGTCCTCTAGTCTTAACGCCATAGTAATACAGTGGACCCTTGACCAATGATATTAATCCAATCCAGAGAGCTTATCTTTAGGTGGAATTTATCGTTTTTCGTATTAATTTTCCCCATAAAATATATGAAATCCCAATTACCAGTGTATACGTTCCAGACAGCACAAAAGCATTAAATTTTTTTTTTTTTCATGATATATAATCATTTTCCTACAAAGAAAACATGAAGACAGCATCAAGAACTACATAAAAATAAATCGCCAAACTTACCTTTATTGAAGGAGTATTATGAGTGATGAGACAGTTTTTCATTGAAACACGTCTGGGATTTTAGAGTGATTACATGAGTAAAAGGCTTCACTTTGAAATCACCACTAGCATTACAACAATCCACACAGCATTCAACAAATCCCCACTTGCATTCAATCAATCACACTAGCATTACAACAATCCCCACTAGCATTAAAACAAAACATGAGGTTAGCCTGTCTTGCAAAGGAGTTATGTACTAGGTCGTGCATGTTACCTCCTGATGTTATGATAGGTACTTGTTTGGCATGTTTCTTCAGATCACGCCTGTTTCAATCACTACCTGAACAATTGTTGGGGTTGGAT